AAATATGATAGCAGTCTGAGTTTTCTTTAGATTTGGAAATGAATGCTTCTCAATTTTAAACAGTATGATTACTTAATGAAATATAACATGGCTTTATAAGGAAGTAAGATTACTAATTTTTCTCCTGAAATGGAGGCAAAATTCTGAGTTTTATTAGATAAAATTATGGTTTGGAAAGAAGGACATAAGATTACAATCATGTGTGTACCTAGAGAATCTGAACTAATGAATAAAACAGTTTATATGTAAATTTAGCAAGTTTACTGACTATAAGGTCTGCATAAAATTTGTTTTTATGTAAGAAATAGGTGAAATTGAAAAGTCAATTTACAGTAGCATCAACAGGAGAAGTAAATATAACTGTAAAAGTACTCCATACTGGGAACTATAGACCAGTATTCAGAGGAATTAAGGAAGATTTTGGAAAGTGGAGGAATATATCATGTTCATTAGAAGGCTTGTTATTTTAAAATGTCATTATACTAGTCATGTATTCATAAATGAATATAGGAAAGTAATATCAGATTTATTCCACTGTCATATCTCATTCCCCCTCTTTCCTTCATTCCCTGTGTGTAATCCATAGTACTTTTATTTTCTCCCCCATCCCTTATTGTATGTTAGCATCCACATATTCGAGAAAACATTTGGCCTTTGGTTCTTTGGGATTGACTTATTTCACTTAATGTTAATGTTATTCTCCAACTTCATCCATTGATCAGCACATGCCATAATTTCATTTGTCTTTATGGTTGAGTAATATTGCATTGTGTATCCATACCACATCTTCGCTATCCGTTCATCTGTTGAAGGGCAACTAGGTTGGTTCCATAGTTTGGCTATTGTGAATTGAGCTGCTATAAACATTGATGTAGCTGTGTCACTGTAATACGCTGATTTTAAGTCCTGTGGGTATATGCCAAGGAGTAGGATAACTGGCTCAAATGGTGGTTCCATTCAAGTTTTCTGGGGAATCTCCATCCTGCTTTCCAGAGTGGTTGTACCAAATTTGCAGTCCCACCAGCAATGTATGAACATACCTTTTCCCCTCACATCTTTGCCAACATTTATTGTTGCTTGTATTTTTGATAATTGCCATTATGATTGGAGTGAGATGAACTCTCAGTGTAGTTTTGATTTGCATTTCTCTAATTTCTAGAGATGTTGAATCTTTTTCATATATTTATTGACCATTTGTATTGCTTCTGTGATGTGCCTGTTGGGTTCCTTAGCCAATTTCTCGATTAGGATGTTTTTTTTTTTTTTTGGTGTTATTTCTTTATATATCCTGGAGATCAATCCTCTATCGATGTGCGGGTGGAAAAATTTTTCTCCTATTCTGTATGCTCTCTGTTCGTGCTCTTCATTGTTTTCTGTGCCTTGAAGAAGCTTTTTAGTTACCGTCCTACTTACTGATTCTTAATTTTACTTCTTGTGCTTTAGAAATCTTGTCCAGTAAGTTGCAAAGCTGACATGATGGAGAGTTGGGCCTACATTTTCTTCTAGTAAGCACAGGGTCTGTGGTCTAATGCCTGGGTCCTTGATCCACTTTGAGTTGAGTTTTTTACAGGAAGAGACATAGGGAGTCTAATTTCATTTTGCTACATATGGATTTCCAGTTTTCCAGCACCATTGGTTAAAGAGGCTTTATTTCTCCAACATATGGGAGCCTTTGTCTCAGATAAATGTATTTATGTGGGTTTGTCTCTGTCTTCTATTTTGTACCATTGGTCTTCATGTCTGTTTTTCTGTCAATACCGCGCCATTTTTGTTACCATAGCGCTGCTGTATAATTTAAGGTCTTGCATTGTGAAGCCTCTGGCACCACTTTTCTTGGTAAGAATTGCTTTGGCTATTTTGGGCTTCGTATTATCCAAAAGTGAATTTTTTTTACTGCTTGTTCTATTTCTATGAAGAATGTCATTGGAATTTTAATAAGAATTGCATTATATCTGTATAGTGCTTTTGGTAGTATGGCCAGTTTGACAATATTAATTCTGCCTATCCAGGAACATGGGAGGTCTTTCCATTTTCTAAAGGTCTTCAATTTCTTTCTCTTTATTTTTTCCCTTTAACCATTTTTTATTCTGCTCATATTCCATTTCTTTCTTTAGTGCTCTGTAGTTTTCATTTTAGAGGTATTTCACCACTTCTGTTACATTGATTCCCAAATATTTATTGTTTTGAGATGTTATTGTGAATAGGATAACTTCTTGGATTTCTCTTTCAGCTGATTTGTCATTGATATATAGTAATGCAACTTATTTATGGGTGTATTTATAGGTGTATAGGAATGCAACTCATTTATATCTTGCTACTTTGCTGAATTCATTTATGAGTTCTAGAAGTTTTCTGCTGAAGTTTTTGGGTCTTCTAAATATAGAATCATGTCACTGCGAATAGGGATAGTTTGGAGGTATTCTTTTCCTGTTTGTATCACTTTAATTTCTTTTGTCTAATTGCTCTGGCTAGGTTTTCAAGGACTATGTTGAATAGAAGTGGTGAAAGAGGGTGTTCCTGTTTTATTCCAGTTTTTAGAAGGAATGATTTTATTTTTTTCTGCATTTAGAATGATATTGTCCTTGGGTTTAGCATATATATCTTTAATAATGTTGAGGTGTGTTTCTATTGTCCTTGTCATTTTTGAATGTAAATGGATGCTGAATTTTGTCAAATGCTGTTTCTGTATCTGTTAAGATAAGCATGCAATTTATTGATGTAATGAATCACCTTTATTGATTTCTATATGTTGAACCAGCCTTCCATCCCTGGGATGAACCTGATTTGGTCATAACATACTATCTTTTTAATATGTTTTTGTATGTGATTTGACAGTATTACGAATTTTTGCATATGTGTTCATCAGGTATATTGATCTTCCTTGATGTGTCTTTGGTTTTGGATCATGGTGATACTAGCTTCATAGAATGAGTGTGGAAGGGTTCTCCCCTTTTTTATTTCATGCAATAATTTGAGGAGGATGGGTGTTCTTTGAAGTTCTGGTAGAAGTTGGCTGAGAATCCGTGTCGGGTTGGGCTTTTCTTTCTTGGTAGACTTTAGATGGCATTTTAAATTTCATTGCTTGTATTTTTTTTAAACTTTCTATGTCTTCCTTATTCAGTTCGGGTAGGTCATTTGTCTCTAGAAATTTGTTGATGTCTTTATTATTTTCTACTTTATTGGAGTATAGATTTTCAAAATAGTTTGATTATCGTCTGTATTTCAGTGGGATCTGCCATGATAGTTCCTTTTTCATTATGAATTTTATTTATTGCCTTCTGCTTTTGGTGTTGATTTGTTCTTTTTGTAGAGCTCTGAGATGTAATGTTAGGTTATTTATTTGGTGATGTTCTACCCTTATAAAGAATATGCTGAGGGCAATGAACTTTCTTATATATAAAGTAAAAAATTTAAAAATAAAAAATAAGAATATAATACAAAACCAGATTGAAATATACTAATCAAATATCCTGGTCCTCAAAAGACAGAGCCATGAAAAATAACTGGTTTCAGAAGTGTCAGACATGAAAAAAAAATCCAAATATAAGTAAGAAAAAAAATCCAAATATAAGTAAGTATAAATGTCCATGATGAACAATAGTTAAAAGAATTTACAGCTAGAAAGCCTATACTACAAAACATAAGATATTTTATGAAGAAGAAATGAAATGTAAAATTGAAAACCAGCAAAAAGAGGAACTACACTAAAGGAATAGTCAATCAAAGGAGAAACTCATTCAAATTAAAAACCAGAAATAAATCAAAATGACATGGAATAAACATGATTTCTCAATAATAACACTGAATGTCAGTGCCCTAAACTCATCAATCAAAAGACATAGACTGGCACATTGGATTAAAAATTCAAGACCCAACAATATCCTGTCACCAAGAGACTCACCCCATAAAGAGATCAACAGACTGATGGTAAAATGGTTGGAAATTAACATATTGTTAGCATGGATCTCTTAAACAGGGGTTTCTGTCCTCAGATTAAGTGGACCTCAAGTAAAATTAACCAAGAATGCCATTTCATACTGCTTAAGGGAATTATACATCAGCAAGACATAACAATATTACATATGTATTCCCCAAACAATAGAACATCTCTATCATCTAACTTTTCTCAATTTCAAATATGACATAACAGAATAATACTGGGTGACTTTAACACAACTCTCTCACCACTGGCTAAATCCTTCAAACAAAAACAAGCTATAGATCTAAAAAAGTACAATTAGTAATTTAGGCTTAATGGACATATATAGACTATTTCATCCATCAGTGAATGAAAAATCAATATATTTTTTTTTCTCCACAGCTCATGGATGCTTCTCTTAGATCATATAGTATGCCACAAAACAATTCTTCTCTGAGCAAATATAGAGATTACCTTGCTTTCTATCAGATTACAATGGTCTGAAGTTAGAAATTAATGATAAAATAAAAAAGAAGCTACTCTACATCTGAAGACTAAATAATATGCTATTGAATTACTGATGTGTAGCAGGAGAAATGAGAGATGAAATAAAAAAAAATACTTAGTGGTAAATGAGAATCATGACACAACTTATCAAAATCTTTGGGACACTATGAAAGCAATTCTAAGAGGAAAGTTCAAATTTAGAAAGATTGAACTATTTTTATTATGATAAAGTAAATACAAAAACTTAATTTTATTGCATTGGCATTCTAGAGGAATTGGTAAACCAAATGATTGTGATTTCTAGTTACTAAGATCTCTTATTTCCGTTAAGTATGGTATGATGGGTTGTTCACCAACCAGTGTTTAATGAACAGATTTGTTGCCTTGGGTATAAAAATAATTGAAGATATCTTGGTGTACAATAGTGGTTACTCCACGTGGCCTGAAGCCAAAACCTCCTTATTCTTAGTCAAGGGCTTTGAAAAGCAGCTAAGCACAGGTGTCCGCATGGGAGGTTATTGTTGTATTCTTTTGTTGAATGTGAAAATTTTAATTTTTTTTCATTTTATTTCAGAGAGAATATCACAAGAAATTTGTATAGTTATGGACAAAAAAGAAAATAAAGAACACATAGGTCATCTTCTTGAAGAAGTGCTAAAAACTGAATTAAATGTAAGTATTTGAAGATTTAGTTTGGTAAACTTTGCCGCAGATGTTTGCAGAAAAAAGGTATCATCCTTGATAAAGCATGAACACCATTTGGTCTTAATATCATTCTGCCTCAGTGGAATTTTTGGGTCTCTTAACACTTAGGACTTCAATATGCTCCCTTCCCTTTTCCTTTCCTGTCCTTTTTGTTTTGAAGTAGGTTCTTGCTAAGTTGCTAAAGGCCTTGTTAAGTTGCTGAGCTGGCTTTGAACTCTCAATTTCTCCTGCCTCAGCCTCCCTAGTTGCTGGGATTGCAGGCGTGTCTCTGCCACCATACCCCAGTTTCAATCCTTAGGTTGATGTCACATGAATCATTTTGGTCATCTAAAACTAGTCCTCTGAAAGATTGCCTAGGGAAGACTCATGGATGCAGTATTTCCAAGTCCTTCCATGTGAACAAAATCTTCAAGTTGATTTGGCCAGATTAAAACTGAGACAAAAAAACAAAAACAAAACAAAAAAAAACTTGGTTCAGAAATTTTTCCTTGAGTATCTTAAATATTCTACTCTATTTTCTTCTGTAATAAAGTGTTTTGTACAAGTGTGGCGAACATATAATTTTGTTTTTTGGTCTTATAGGTGATTTAGTCTGTATGAATGAAGGCCCAAATAATTATTTTTTCTTTAAAGTTCAGTTGTTTCCTTTGAATTTTCTGTTAGCCATTTTTAGTTGATGATCTGGGGTATATTATGTGTTCTTTTATTGTTTAGATTTAAGTGTTTTTATTTACTGAAAATTACTATGCCATTTTTAGCATTTTATGTTAAGTTCGGTTTTCAGAGATTCTTGTTGCATGATACACTCTTAGCTGCTGCTTTCTTTCGGAGTTTTAAAATGTCTTTTTCATTTTAGAATTTTTTTGCTTTCCAGTTTCCTTTGTTTCAGGCATGAAAAGATCATTTTATTTGCTCTTATGTTCTTTTTATTTTAGCCTCCAATTCTGCAATGAATGAATTTCTTCAATTTTTCTGTTCTAATAACTACTTCTATTTCTTTCCAATTCTGATTTTAAGAATTTCATTTATCTTATTAAATCTTAAGTTATGATTTTCATTTCTTTTATGAATAGGTGTTTCTGATTTGAATACATTGCCTATAGAAACTTTTACTCTTTTGTTTCTTATATCAAGCTTATGTGGGATTTATTTTTCTCTACTGAAACTCTTTTTTTCCCCATAGCTTTATTGACGTAAAGTTGAAGTGCAATAAAGTGCACATATTTGAAGTATGCACTTTGATGAGTTTTAATATGTATATAACTAATATTAATATAAAAAGTATTTGTGGGGCTGGGGAGACAGTTCAGTTGGTAGAGTTCTTGCCTCACATGCTCAAGGCCCTGTGTTCAATGCCCAGCACCACAATAAATAAATAAATAATAAAAACCAATTGCATTTCTTTTCTTAAAATTTAAAATCATGAAGACTGTCTCCACATATTTTAATACATTAGAAATCAATTATCTTAAGATCTATACAACCCCATCCCCACATGTTAACTATTTCAAAATTAGATGGCACACTTATAAATATCTCAGAGGTCAAGGAAGAAACACAAGAAAAGTAAATAAAAAGTGCTTTGAATGAAGTGAGTAAAAAGCTTAAAATACCAGAATGTCTTGGATGAAACAGTGCTCAGATGAGCATTTATAATATAAGAGTACTTGTATCAGAAAGAAGCTAGATAGGAATCAAATTATTTTCATATTATGTACTAGGTAGGAAAAAGTAAGAGTAGAAATATATGAAATAGAGGAGAAATAATACAACTAAAATCTGATAAAAATAAGCCTAATCAAGAAAAAGGCAGGTAAAAATTAATGGAAAGGGAGCTATAAAAATAACCCTACAGATGCTAATAATATATAATGGTAATATTACAATTATATGCCAACATATGTGATAGCTTACACAAAACATGGTCCATATTAGAGAAGGGTCCAAGTTCTGAGAAGAAAGAGTATTCTCTCATTGATGCATGAAATATTCTATATGTGTCTGTTATATCTAAATTATATTTTTTACTTCTAGACTTTATTTAGATTTTGTTTAGAGGATCTATTCAATGGTGACAGAGGCATGTTAAAGTTACCCAGTATTACTGTGTTGTGTTCTATTTGATTCTTGAAATTGATACGGTTTGTTTGATGTAGATACATGTTCCATTGTTTAGGGCATAAATATGTAAGATTGTTATGTCTTGTTGGTGTATAATTCCCTTAAGCAGTATGAAATGGCCTTCTTGTTTCCTTCTGATTAACTTTGGCTTGAGGTCGTCTACTTTATCAGATAGAAAGCCCTGCTTGTTTATGTGATCCATGTGAGTGATATGTTTTTGCTGATACTTTTATCTTCATCATGTGGATGTCTTTGCTTATGAGGTGAGTCTCTTGGATAGAATATTGTTGGATATTATTTTATAATCCAGTGTGCCAGTCTGTATCTTTTGATTAATGAGTTTAGGCCATTAATTTTCAGCATTATTATTGAGATATGATTTGAATTCCTACTCATAAGTGTATTTATAGTTTTTAATTTGAATTAGTTTCTCCTTTGGTTGATTATTACTTTAGTGTAGTTCTTACCTTTGCTGGTTTTCACTTTTTTCCATCTAATATTTAAAATTTTTACTTTAAAAAATATTTTTAGTTGTAAATTGACACAGAACCTTTATTTTATTTTTTTATGTGGCACTGAGGATCAAACTCAGCATCCCATACATGTGAGGCAAGCACTTTAACACTGAGCCACAACCCCAGACTTTTCTTTTCATCTTCATGGAATATTTTGTTAAGAATGTTCTGTAATGCAGGCTTTTAGTTGCAGATTCTTTTAACTTTTGTTTATCATGGCAGGTTTTTATTTCATCTTCAAACCTGAAGCTTAATTTTGCTGGTTATAGGATTCTTGGTTGGCATCTATTTTCTTTCAGAGCTTGGTATATATATTTTTTAATTTTTAAAATTTGTTCTAATGAGTTATACATGAAGCAGAATGCATTTTGATTCATTGTACACAAGTGGAGCACAACTTTTTATTTCTCTGATTGTATGCAATGTAGAGTCATACCACATGTACAGTCATACATGTACCGAGGGTAATGATGTTCATGTCATTCCACCATCTTTTCTGCTCTCATGCCCCCTCCTCTTTCTTCCCTCCACTTTGCTGAATCTAAGTTCCTCCATTCTCTCCACGCCCACCCCCACATTATGGGTCAGATTGGCTTACTTTTCTTGACATGATATTTTCTAACTCCATCCATTTACTTGAAAATGCCATATTTTTATTCTCTTTTAATGCTGAGTAATATTTCTGTATGCATTTGTCTCTCAAATCCATTCATCTATTGAAGGGCATCTAGGTTGCTTCCACTGATTAGCAATTGTGAATTGTGCTGCTATAAACATTGAAGTGACTTCATTAGTGTAGTATGCTATTTTTATGTTTTTAGGGTATAGACAAAGGAGTGGGATAGCTAGGTCAAATGATGGTTCCATTCCAAGTTTTCTAAGGAATCTCCATACTGCTTTCCAGATTGGTTGCACCAATTTGTAAGTCCGACCAGCAATGTATGAGTGTGCCTTTTTCCCCCACGTCCTCATCAACACTTATTGTTGTTTGTATTCTTGATAACTTCCATTCTGACTGGTGTGAGATAAAATCTTAGGTTTGATTTGCATTTCTTTAATTATTAGAGATGTTGAATATTTTTTCATATATTTGATGATTGATTACATTTCTTCTCAGAGTGTCAGTTCAGCTCCTTAGTCCATTTATTGATTGGTTTGTTTGTTTTTTTGGTGCTAAGTTTTTTGAGTTTTTTATGTATCCTGGAGGCTTATGTTGATGTGTGTATGATAAAAATTTGCTCCCAAATGTACACTCTCTCTTCACCTCACTGATTGTTTCTTTTGCTGTGAAGAAACTTTTTAGTTTGAATCCATCCCATTTATTGATTCTTGATTTTATTTCTTGCACTTGAGGAATCTTGTTAAGGAAGTCAGGGCCTAATTTGACATGATGAAAATTTGGGCATGGTTGTGCTTCTATTTAATGTAGGGTCTTTGGTCTAATTCCTAGGTCCTTGATCCACTTTGAGTTTTGTGCATGGTGAGAGTAACAGGTTTAGTTACATTTTGCTGTGTAATAGATTTCCAGTTCTCCCAGCACCATTTGTTGAAGAGGCTTTCATTTCTCCAATGTATGTTTTTGGTGCCTTTATATAGTATGAGGTTACTGTATTTATGTGGGTTTGTTTCTGTGTCTTCTATTCTGTACCATTGGTCTATGTGTTTTGGTGCCAATACCATTGCCATTTTTGTTACTGTAGCTTTGTAGTATAGTCTACAGTCTGGTATTGTGTTGCCTCCTGCTTCACTCTTGCTAAGGATTGCTTTGGCTATTGTGGGTCTTATTTTTCCAAATGTTTCATGAATGCTTTTTCTATTTCTATAAGGACTGATATAGGGATTTTAATTGGAATCACATTGAATCTTTATGCAGTTCGGGTAGTATGGCCGTTTTGACAATATTGATTGTCCCTATCATGGACATGGGAGATCTTTCCATCTTCTAAGGTCCTCTTCGATTTCTCTAGTGTTCTGTGGTTATTATTGTAGAGGTCTTTCAGCTCTCTTGTTAGCTTTATTCCCAAGTATTTAATTTTTTGAAGCTATTATGAATGGAATAGTTTTCCTAATTTCTCTGTCAGTGGATTCATCACTGATGTATAGAAATGCATTTGATTTATGAGCATTGATTATTATATCCTGCTACTTTGCTGAATTCATTTATTAATTGTAGGAGTTTTCTGGTGGAGGTTTTAGATCTCTATAGAATCATCTCATCAGCCAATGATGATAGTTTGAGTTCTTCTTTTCCTATTTGTATCCCTTTAATTTTTTCATCTGTCTGATTTCTCTGGCTAGAGTTTAAGGACTATGTTGAATAGAAGTGGTGAA